AGTAGTGAAGAAGACAAAGAACATCCGGCTCCGCGCTCACCTTTTCGACACTGCTGTCCTTCCTGCTTTGACGTACGCCTCGGAGACCTGGGCTCTACGAAAGCAGGATGAGCATGCTGTCAGCGTTATTCAACGCGCTTTGGAAAGGACGATGCTCGGAATTTCCCTATACACGCAAGTGCAGAAGGGAATCCGGAGTTCCGAGCTCCGTCACCGAACGAAGATCAGGGATGCCGTTGATTACGCCGAGAAATCGAAGATCAGGTGGGCCGGACACGTTATGCGATATAGTGATGACCGTTGGACCAGGGCGGTTACTGACTGGATCCCTCGGGACATCAAACGAACACCAGGAAGGCCGCCGACGAGATGGTCAGACTTCTTCACGAAAGCTCTGAACGAAAGGAATGTTGAACCTCGTGTCCCTGAAGCGAGAACGGTTCACTGGACCACTTTGGCTCGTGACAGGGACGAATGGAGACGTTACTGGCGCCCGCTCGAGGATTTCGATGATCAACGGGACGACAGGTGATACAGGTGATAACGCCCTATCTTGACCGCTTTCCGACCTAATAGCGTTACCTAGGCTATCCTTGGGGGTCACAAGCTCATCCGAGATAGAAATCTCAGGCGCCACCTTTAACGTTAACAGTGAATTAAACCTGAGTCAGTCAACCTAGCTCAATCTCGATATACAGTCTCAAAAATCTAAGGAAGAAAGGCCTGTATAGCAGAGTTGCTAATTGCAGCGCTCACCCCATGGTTGTCCTGCACCGGCCGCTTCTGAATTCCTCTCCTATGTCCACGAAATAAACCTATAGAAAGCAGAAAACGAGATGGGAAGCTCACTTGAGACAGTCAGCAAACACTTATGGCTTATATGTCAGCACTAGTATTCCGGTCATTGACTACCAATTTACTCAAGCCCTCTTGAAATTATTCCTAAAATCTGAGTTTACACTTGGGGTGCGCCTGTATGCCTGAGCTCCGCCCCCCTCGTCACTCCTCCCCCTCCATCTCACTGACGCCGCCTCTCCGCGCTTTGGTTAACGCTGAAGTGCTGCGAACATTTCTCCAACTTTGGATAATTAGGGAGATTTTTTCATACACCGATGCCGATGTCATCACGTAACATAAAATTACAACTGCTCAGACATATTAGTGAAGCATTTATTAATACTACACATTATACAAACTATACAGTACCTTCTATTTTGGCCATCTATGAATTAATTTAACAGTAAAGCTTAGAAAACACCTTGACAACACAACCAAACTATACACAATACACCTGCCAAAGCACAGAACACAAGAAGGAACCGGGGAATCCTCAGGACCATTCTGTACATACCGGAAATATATAGAGGATATAGAAATCGTGAATTACAAAGCTCTACCTACTACTGGACACTCGTGTCTCCTACCCTCTCAGCCCACAACATGAAGTTTGGACCGCCGTAGGATTGAAGTACGTTCCAGGGTCGGGACCTCCAGCAGGACGAATCACTGACTCATCTGTGTGATACAAATAAGAAGGACAAGCTCGTCATTATAAACTACAGTGAAGAAGCGATGTGGAAGTTGGTGCTCCTTAAAGAAAAATATGATATCTGTTGAATTGAGCTTCCGACTTCCGGTGGGAGTGAAAACGAATTCCGGAATAAGCAGAGAAAAATTTTACATTCCAACTCCACAAAGAATTATTATAGCTAGCTGGAAAGCAATCAGCAAACAGTGTATTTAAATTTCCAACAGAATTATTATTGTCGCAATTTCACCATGGCACATTGTCGTCCCAACAAAGCTGATTACCACATTTACAATGTCTATGAAACTAAACAGTTACTGTACTACTAATAATCTGTAAACGAACAAAACTACTTGACAGAAACCGATAACGACAGGATATCGCACGTCATCGTCACTTGGAGACCATGTCACCTTTGCCCGAACAATAGCCGTAAAAATAGGAATTTCGGATATGGAATTACCCTGAAACAAATGAAAATTTCCACATTCGCAGGAAGAGCTTGCCTACCATGATAAATTTGGAAAATCTCGGTTCCAGTGTTTGGTTAATCTCAGCAACCGTAGTAGAAATGAAGCTGTAACAGACTGTTTCGAGCTGTAAAGACTTCGCCATGACCGCGTTGCGAAAGGCTGCCACGCTGGACACCACCGATGAGTATAAACACAGTCTAACTTTGGAAAAAAACAAGTTAGGGGATGAGCCTGACGGTTAAGTTAATCGGGCGTGATGTCATTCACCAAATACAACCCGAGCTGTGGATTCTTCTTCCCACCCTGACTGAATGGAGATTTAGAAAGTAGGTTCAACTCTTGTGTTATGCAGTACTACTGTTGTGTGTCACTATGAGGGTAGCTTAGCAATGATCGCTCCAAATATCGATTTCTTCATGGCATCGCTTTTTTGACAACGCGCAGCCCAAGTATGAACGAGGCAAAGACCGATACAAGTGAACAAGATCATCAGGTAATTTACTAATGCGACTCCTTTTTAAAGATGGACTATGTGAATTACACGTTTTACAAGAGCCTCATATACTTCTAATGTTACTGTCAACAGAAGGTATTTTTGGAAGAAATCAAAGCAGCGTACTGTATCATTCTGAGGAAAACGCATGGATATGGTATGAAGGGAATGCTCCTTGCCTGGTTGATTCACTGTCAGCCAGACTGACCTTCAACTGCATCAACTGAAGCGCATGGACTTGACTCGTTTGATCCGCCATTGGTAGCCACTGCCTGCTTGAGTGATGTGAACATCCGAGCAAACGGAAGACAAAATGGTGGAAGCGTTTGTTCCAGCGATGGAGTTGCATGCGTCAGCAACGGCTTCATGAAGCTGAAAAAACAAATGAAGTTTTAGAACAAAGCCTAAAAAACCCCCGATAAAAACTGTAAAAAAAAAAACAACAGACAAGAATCAAAGATGGACGAGTTGTTCGGAGTCCTTTTGTATAAATCGAGCAACTTTTTGTTGACGCATAGAATGTTACACACCATTATACTGATCATTATTTCACTAATACTACTATCACTACCGTTACTAAAATTACTACATACTACTAGCAGAACTGACAGACTTTATAGAGAATCAGAAAAAGGACCAAAGGATGAGAAAGACAAATTCGAAGCTGTTCCTATTAAAGGGATCAAACGAATAGGAAGCAAAACCTTATCTAGCCCTATCGAAGTCCTAGTAAAATAGACGTAATATAGGTGATCAAAGCTACTATGAACAGCGAAACTTACTTGGCATCAAAGTTATACCATTTTCTTGGCAGGAACGCTTTATCCCATGGATTCGCTCCGCATGGGGTGAGGGGAGTACCCGGCAAGTGCAAATCATCAACTTCATTCTGAAAAGCCCAACACGAATCAGTCATTGGAAACGTATTTCTGATTTTCGAAAACCTTACCTGCCCACCAGAACTTTGCGTACCTCCACGACTTCGTTCTTCTATGCCGTGTCTACAAAACTCAATTCAGTACTGTTAACGAGTCTTTTTTTGAAAACTCACTTAATTCCTAGATAATCAACCATCCATGCTGTCAAGCTACCATTGAAGAATACAGTAACCATCACAATAGCTGCAGTTGTAGAGCAGATTACCTGTAATACCACAAATAAAAATTAAAAACAGTATTACCAATAGCAAAGGGTCTTCGACGAGGAGCTGAAGAAAAAACCCACTTACACTAAGTATAAGCATATATAATAGAAAACATGACATAAATGCGTAATGAATGTAGATAAAACTTTCAGAACTTGATAGCTTCAAAGATGCATGCCCGTTATTTGCCAGAAAAAAGACGAAATATAAAACAGAAGAGTAATTTACCTGTCTGTTATCGGTAGCTGTATTTCGATCAGCAAGAGCGAATGCCATAGCACCACGGAGACCAGCGAAGACAAGCATATGCTGGTAGGAACGAGGAATAAGTGGACGGCGCCATATATTCAAGAGAAAACTCAATGGGTAGACGAACAGAGCACGAGCGACGACAATGGAGATCTGTAAAGGAGAAGGGTAACCCAAATAGAGGGGGGAAAGTCGTGAGCATATTCAGCAAGGGCAACATCCTAGGAACTTACCAGAGCGAAGAACAAAAATCCAATATTCCACTTTTGGTTATTCTCTACGAATATGCTGACTCCTATATAGCAGAATATAAAGCTTTCAAGGACAAATGAAATCATCTGTAAAATGACAGAGCACGTTACGAAATGAAAAAGAAAAAAGTGAAGCGACGAATAAAATCACCTGGAAAAATTGCTTGGTTGTGTGTTGCGACTCTTCAGATAGATTGTTGTAGGTGTAATGCGCTTGTGAAATACCACAGAAAAGAACCGATACGATACCTAGAATCGAATTTTAATTACTTCAAAAACAGAGATTGTGTCTAATTTGGAAGCGATGGGCAAGATCCCTGCTCTAATAGGGACGGTGAAGCCGATCAGTAGAGCTGAAGCGCCATCAACACATTTGATGCTTACATGGCGCAGCATACCCACGGTATCTACTACTGGCGCATAGCGAACTCTAAATACCGCCTAGATACTGGGAAAGTCAGTCGTAGTGGACCAACATGCCTCAAAACCTAATCCCAGGCAATATGACAAAATCGTAGAACATCGCAGAAAAAATTTTCGAGTGACTACGTTAAGTTGCAAAGACCCGAACATTCAACAAAGTATACAGAAACAGCAGTCTTACCTGTAAGTCCTACCACTTCTGCAATCAAGAACGATATGTATGAAACTAGAACGAACAGACTGCTCTCCAGCAATGGATGCTCCGCAATCGCTGTCATTTTCGTAATAAGAGCATTACCACATCCAATCAATGACCCCAGCAGTAGAGATCCTGGAATCAACATCAAACATGGGCATTGTAATCAACTGGAAATCCTTCTACTTCAGCAAGATCACTGTGCCTTCATGTAGTATAATTCACAGATACACACTTAAACTAAAAGCTTATCAAAAGCCCCAATCACTGAAGAGCAGAAGTTAGCTCTTTACATTCCCGAAATATGTTGTCATTGGAACAAAGAACATGATTTCCGCTCAATGATCCCGCAAAACAAATGTAAAGCCTTTCACGAACTTACCAAAGAAGATATATGCAAATTTTCCAAGAGCGAAGAAAATCTCGTTCATTCCAACCACCTCATTTCCAGATGAGAAATTATCGATTGTGCTGTAAAGAAATACGTACATTTCAATTACATCGATTATAATTAAAGTAAATGATTGAAACTTTGATAACTCGTTCCATGACGTCATGGCAAGCATACGCTATGTGGTACAGTGGCGTGGGCCGCAGGTCCTAACAGGAACGCATGGCGAAATTGACAATTTTTCTATTCGCCCTATCCCCACGCACGTGAGTTTATCCACCCAGTTTCTTTCGATGCGCCGTATGAGAAGCGGGTTTTGTTTGGTCGTCTGTAGCCTCTTTTACCTCGCAGCGTGTCACTATTGCATCACGAAACCAGGAGATTCTACCAATTTTTGGTCATTCAAGTAAATAGTAATGTAATATATTGTGATAACCCACCTAGACAACACCAACGCTACAGCATCATTCAAAGCACTTTCACCGAAAACTAAGGCAAACAGGTCAGCTTCGACGTGCATTTCAGTGAACAGAGAGATCACGGTGACTAAAAAAAAGAGTAAAGTCACACCACGAAGTGGAAAACGCTCTTTAGAGACAACCGCATACCTGGATCGGTAGCAGAAATTACAGCACCAAAGAAAAGAGTCTCTTGGAGGGAGAATCCCATCCCGAACACTTTCGTGAACACATATAACAGTGACCTATTCAAATCATACTAGTACTACGATAGGGATGTTACCAAATACTTGAAAAGTCTGAACCAAGCTTACCCGGTAGCAAAACATGAAATTGTTGTACCAACAAATGCAAACACCAGTATGCTGCCAATGTTTCGGAAGAAATGACGTTTTTTAAGGCTGTAACCCGCGTTAAAGATAATTGGCGGAAGCATGATATTAAAGAAGATTTCCGGAGAGAATGCACTCTGAAAAACATAGAATTCAGATCTCTCTTATTTATGTTGAGCCCTCTACACAAACCAGAGACTAATTCTTGAAATAACAAAAAGATACTCTAGTAACTGCCTCACAGATCACAAAAAAGTTTACAGTGGCAACTTCGAAAGTAATCCAGTTATACTTACCTTTTGTTCTATCTTTTGTTCATTATGCTTCTTCTTGTCCGCATAAAAACCCTCCATCAACTCATAATGAAAAGAAACACGTGGAGTCCCTTCTGGCTTCACCTCCAACCTTGAAAATGAGGGATTGAAACGGCAGGTTTCCAATTTCCATTTGAAATCATGGACAACGAGAAACGCATTTACAATTTTTTTACTAACCTCAAGTAATCGGGAGGTTCTTCTAATATAACCGTTCGATCTTTCAAAACCACATCGTAAGTTTGCGACTCTAGCAAGCCAATGTCAAAGTATCGAATAACAAAGCCGATCAATAACCCTTAATCCTCAGTTGATGTGAAATCAATGTGAAGAGGAAAAGAAACACTGACCGTAAAATAATGTAAGCCCAGTTTCATGTACAAACATAAAGCGATAATGCTTGAAAAGCCATGAAGTTAGGACAATCACCACAAGTACAGAAATGTAGGTGAGAAGGATAATCGAATCCAATCGATGAATATTTTCGGCCCTCTGAAATGAAAAGGTGACGCTATAACTTTGAATTCTGTATGAAAATGAACGGAAATCCCGATTGGAAACAACGAAAAGCAGGAAACGCCTCTCTGTTTCGAATAGTTAAAACCAGGTTCCCAGATCAGCATCTTTGTGATTCAGCTACCCACAGGGAGGCTTCTGCCTGAACTTCTTAGCTATCAAATCTTCAACTACTCTACACCATGCACCTGTTGGCCAGCCCTTTAGCTTCTAGTATAGAGTTAGAGTTGGCACATGGTCAACATGGCTTCTACGACGTCCCACCCCGCCTGTATCGAAGTCATATTATCGATATCGACACACTGCTGGTGGGCGTGGCAAACACAAAACGCACGCCGACAATGAGCCAACGCATACTCTGAATGTATCTACTGTGTGATGACATGCCATGCCACTTGGTCCCACTTTCGTTTTATTGAACTACGTATCCCAAGGGCACCAAAATTAGAAGTCAGCGTAGGCTACAGCTTCGACGATGAAGCATACAATTCACCCACAAGAAATCCATACACAAATGGTTTTACGAGAGGTATTACTGTAGGAATTTGGACCTCGATCGGGGCACCGAGAACTCCAGCTTCATTGAAAAACTGAATTCTTCCGTTAAATATGGCTATAAAATGGCAATCAAAACCAAGTGGCAAGAAAAAACAAAATGAACCAACCCGTTGAGCCGCCATTTCCAAAGGAGATCCTTCTTTACTGTTTGCAGAAGTCGTGCCCATGTATAAAATTATTATAACAAGACATACAATAGTGAATCCTTTCATCTTCTCTTGAGTTTAATAGCGATGCCCAAAAAATCTAAAATTTCAAATAGTGAAATATACAATTTAGTGCTTGCGACAACAAAAAAATAAGAGCTCTCCATGCATAAAAAATCATCGTTCGTAAAAAGACTTGTTCAGAAAACTTAGGGATTCAGAATTTTTGTTTGTTTTTACCATACGAAATCATCCATAGACTGACGTGGCGTTCACAGTTACTGATTACGTCGATATCGATTATGGTTGCGGTCAAATAGGTGCCAGAAACGTGCACAAAAGTGAAATATTTCGACAGCAAACTATCAGAAACCAACCAAAAACAAAAGTTCGGTAGTAAATGAGAATAGTCAAAGATACCAAGGGAAGAGCATACTGCATACTAATACTCGATTTACATAGTAACCGTGAACATTAGCTGCTACCCCGTTGTCTGAATAAACAGACACATTCATGTTTGCAAACCGTTGTCAAAACATGATGAAAACGAACTGGAAGGGGAAGAGTAATGCCCACTGAAAACCGTATGAATAGAAGAGCAAAACAGACCTAATGACCTTCGCGGATTTCCATTTTATTCACCCTATTACAAAGAGATGATTAAAAGTGCTGCGAAAACAGGTTATAGATAATCCACGAAAAAATTCTAACCCGGACGTTCTATTTTTGTATGTACCAATGAACCAGAAAAAGGGAGAGCACTCGAGTGGAATACAAGAGAAGCGAAAAGTGACACATTTGCTAGGCAATTGTATTGTCGCGATGGCAATATTACAGTAAATTTTATAGCGAAAAGGGATATAAAACCAGAGAAAGAAAGTCTGTATGTCTGCGTCTCGAAAGGCATCAAATGCAGCAACGAACGTTCATTACTCTATAGGACGGGGCGTGTCCGTTCTGATAAGCTTGCCAAGCGATCAGCTGTTTCCCAGGGCACCATGAAAAAAAAAGCACGTGAAAAATTTGTGATCAGATCGATATTCACGAAAAACACATTTGACGAAAGCGACTGCAATGCCAACAGCACAGCTTTGACCAAACGCTGCAAAGTTACTTTACTAGTACGAAAAATACAGCTACGACAACAATATAGAAATGCCAACAATCAAGTAATAATCAAAAGCAAGAAATCCGAAGAAAACTAGGTTTCCAGACGCCAGAAAATTAGCAATTTACAGAGAAACTGCTACGGAATATATAATGGCACTTTGGACGACCGGCTGTTATGCGCGTGTTTGGCATAAATTACAATTACAATTCAATATAGAGTAGTTAAAACAGTCCTAATGAAACTCTGACTAGTCCACCTGCATAAATGAACCAGAAATTGCAAAGTTAATTAAGGGGATTCACAAATCTACCGATAATGCCAGTCTGGCGCGCCCTAATCCGAACGGAACCCTGGACGTGACATGGACCGTGACAAAACTTGTGTCTCAAAGTTAATTAATACTTCTCTGAGTTGTACACATCGTAAATATTCATCAAGCGGCTTTCACGAATCAATGCATTTAATTATTTTGGCTTAACGTTCCCTGTAAACACCGTTGCACCTTCCATTACGAAAGCCGAGCCCACTTGCAGCGCGGTTTACGAATGGGGCGCGTTACCTTGCGCACATCACGCTTGGTTGTGTTACTCGTTACTTACATCAGCGGGCAGTAAGCCTTCGTGATCCGAAAATTTCGAATTTTCCTACGGTGATGATCACACCATAGACTTAAAAGATCCGAAATTTGGAACTTGTGATCGCTCTACCACTTGTTATATTTAAAACCAGGATGCTTCAGGGGCTCTGT